TTTATCAAGGCATACTGTGAATATTTTATTTAGCATAGCATGCAATAAATATAAAAAGTAATCAAATACACACAGATTGGCAATCTGACCAATCACAATGCTGCATTCAACCATATGATGTCATAGTATAATATAAAGTCTATACATGCAAATGAGATGCGGAAAACAAATCTATTTTCATTTAAAGCAAATTTTTGCAATGACACTAATAATACAAGGCCAAATAATTTTTATTTGTCTTTTTATAAAATAACCATATAATTTCTATTAAGGTTTATATAATTCTATGTACATTTTATAGAATAACTGTATAATTCCTATAAATGTTTATAAGATTTCTATAAACAAATCTAAATGATTCTTATATGAATAAACAATCTTATAGAAATCTATGAAATTTTATTCCAACTTTTGTTACCATAGCGACGTCATGTACGCACATTTGGTTCACACAGCCGTTGCAGTATTGTTTAGAATCAACTTACAATGTGTTTAGGGAGACATTATAAACATATATTACAGAAATTTTATAAATATATTGTTTATCAATTGTATTTAGTAGTTGCGACTTTGCAAAGCTTTAATCGTGAGGCACATCCTTGGTAATCACGTGATTGTGCCAACGACTGCAGCGATTGGCTGATTGCTTGTTTACTCTGTGACGCATTAGCGATTTTTGGTGGAGTTTGTAAGATTTGTAAGAAAGAAGAAGGAGAGAAGTGAGCAGCGATTGGTTACCTCAGCGAAAGCCTGGAGATTTGAACAATTTTCGGTTAGTAGATTAACTATATTTTGCTACATATTCGTAAAGTGTTATGAACGATGCTAATGTTAGTTTCGTATTTTTATAGCTCAATTATCAAACCTATTCGAAGATAGTACACACAGAGTGATAGGTTATTCCTTGATTTTTCATAATATCGCACCTAGTCCAGCAATTTACGAAATAATGACTTTTCGAAAAAAGTTTGTGGCTTTAATGTTGTTTAAATTTGCTTCTATGTATGTGAATATTATATGGGTTTGTGTTTGGTCTTGTGAAAGTACCTCGTTCGTAAATAACAATAACGATTGACCGGCGTCTGGCAAGTGTGTACAACTTTAGCTTGTGTAACCAATGTTTCAAGTTTTGGTCCGTGAATAATTATATGTGCAGTTCAGCTAAAATAAGGCTTTCAGTAATTTTTTGTGTATTTTGTTCCTTTTTCTAAAACTAAATAGCGACCTGTGTGGTCTTGTAACGAACACGGTACTTGAATCGATGGATTTGATTGTAAACGCAATTATATATGAAAATTAAAATAAAGTCGAATTCATCGATTCAAATGCCTGTGCTCCGTATCCATTAATCAGAAGTTGTTTGTTTGTTTTGGCCGGCCGTAAACGAACACGTTTTCTGAACACGTGACACCTCTTCAGAATTCAGATAATTATTTATACAATTCGTATTTCAAGACGATTTGAAGTATGTCATAGCTGCAATAAGTCGAAATGGGTTCTATGAAGGGAACACCAATTTACATGGTCGCCATTTTGTTTTTATAACAGCGCCATCTAACACATTAGCTTGCATGCTCGCTCGTTTTTATGGTTGCAAATCGAATGTTGATGATGCTTTCATCTCAAATACAGTACAAAATTGAATTAAATGGAGCATTATATTATTCCCAATAATTCACCACATTTTAGTAATTTGGAAATGATATTCTGAAAACTACCATTGTGTCTGGCCATTGCATGAGTGCATTGCATATCAGACAGTTTGTTGTATGGTTTAGAATTTATATTCTTGCTATATTAATTTGTATAATACGTTTCTCATTTTTCGGCTGCCTGAAGTGTTTTCCTTAGAATTAAAATAATTTTGTTTTTGATAAATGCCTAAATTATTTATTGACTTTTTTCTCTACTTTCTAGATTATTGGAGGTGGAAGATTTGTTCTCCCAACAGTTATTCCGGAACACCGGGCTGCATTTGGTTACACCCACCAACTTTATTCTGGAACACACACGGTCAAACAATCTGGTATTCTATACCAGACATTTAAACATTAGCAATAAAACGTTCATTTTTATCATATTAAACGTTACAGTTTGAGTATCTCTGTACTATACTACAACTAACCAATTCTAAGAGAAGTGATAATCATTTGAATACCAGCAGTTAGTGACAATTACAATCACATACATTATTTTACAGAAGAATATTTGTATTGTACGACAACCCGCCAGAAGTGGTATCCATAACCATAGCAACAACTACATATGATACTTATCGCCGAGCCTGCAGAATTGAATATCATTTAGATGACTTAATATTAGGTAATCGCTAATTGAATAAAGAAATTATACTTGTCAAGATAAATATAGTGAAAAAGTTTGATTTATTTCATTGTTTGTGATTAATTTTCTTGATTTACTGTTTCTATTTGCAAAAGCCATTTTATAAATTTTATCTTTGGAAATCGGGTGCCACCTCAATTCCAAAGCAAGGTTCTGCAATAGTATGCATGTACATATGTTTTTAATTTTTGTCCCCAAAAAACATTTGAACATGTCGATTATTTTCGGGGTATTGTGGATTTTATTCAAACTTGGGTTGAATATTACAGATGATGGTTTTAATGTACGTATGCATTGTAATTTAATCCAAAATGCTGACTGGGGACCACGTTTTATTTTCTTACTGTACTCAGTGAGGAACACATTAACATGCTGAATACTCCTGCAACATAATCTACATCCGTCTGTCATTGTTTTTGATTGACACAGTAACTAAAAACTGAACAGGGACCATGTTATTGACAATGACTTGTTTTACAATGCTTCTTAATTTATAGAAATTGTAATTTTCCTGGCCAGGTTATTTACGTTATATTTTACAAATGTATATTTTTGAAGAGTATTATTAGTGCATGATCATTACCAACTTTGCTGTGGTGTGTGTAGTTACCAATATCTACCATTTCTTACCAATGTATGGTAAAGACCATGTTAAGGACTGAAATGATGCAGGGGTGGGTGATACTTCCGAAGCCGAGAACCATACCAAGAATAATTTGTTTTAATTTAGTTTTACGTAGATCTTATGTGGCGTTGTATGTGTCGTTGGACAGTAAGCATTTTTGATAATATTTACATATGCATATGATTATTGGACTATATTGGTATCCATCAGTCTTAATTATCTCTGTGTTACACAATTGTGCTTTATCATGTTCTGGCTGTAGATGATATGCACGATTGAGGCATTGGCAAGTGCATTATGCTAAAGGCATATTGGTTGATAGAAGAGGTATATAGCTTTTGTCTGGTGTGTAAAATGCAAAAAGCCAGTGCAATGAACAAAATAGAATTCATGGTTTGACTTGAGCACTATCTGACATAGTGTATTACCATAGCGGGTGTTTTGCAAATTGTGGAAGTGCTGACAAATTTGTTCTTCTGTGAACAGTATCATAGTAGTATTATGTGTAGCCCTGCAGTTTTAGTGTTTTTTGAAGGAACATCAATGTCAAATGAAACCATCCGACCTCCGGAATGAGGCATGCTACCATAGCCAAAATCTGTGATGAAACGCAAGTTATATAAGACAGAAAGTTAAATTAGACAAAGGACCCTTTCCCCAGTTAGATGGCGCAAATGTTCACGTGTTGGGTATAAGCCGGAAAAGAATGTCATGCCAAATTCGGGAAAAGTGTCAAAATATTAACAGCTGCTAGTGAGATTGGGGTAACAGTTATGTTGGCGTACATTATTATACTACATACAACTACCACCAACACTCATTTACCATCTCAGCTTGCTGAGAGTTTTCACACGTTTGTCACATGTGATAAAACATTACCTCAATAAGCAGGTAGCAGAATTTAAACTGCCCACTGTTGGAAGGCATCTTAATTGTCAGAATGTGATGGTGCTAAGAAACACATGGTGTTATGTGAAATTATTCAATTGTGTCCTCCAAGCCCCAGGGTGGAGCCACCTTTGCGACCATTTTTTCTGTGGGTCAAACTTCCGGTCATACATGACAAACATGGGTGGTTTGCCAGAGAGAGGTGGCCGAGGGTCAGCAGATTACTTGTCTGCTGTCAAGATGGTTCAAATGTTCAGCCTAGTGGACCGGATATAGTTAAGGTTATACAAGCATAGAACTATTTGTGGTACCAGAAATCAAGACACATGTTCTTGTGGTGAACTCTGACAGTTTAGTTGAATTAAAACAAAAGAATCCGACGAAATCGTTATTTTGGTTATTAGACTGTCTCTATACATACCATCATCCGCCTGCACGGTGTTGCTCCGTTCGAACATTTCTCCCTCCGAGTGCTTCGCCGGAACATTCACCTTGAAAATTCAAGATGATACATACAGACAAATCAAACATCTAAACATTCTAAACCTTACAGTGCCCCTTTTATGATAAAGAAAGTACATGATATATTGAAATATGGTGGGAATCATCAAACGGCCTGATTTCAAATTTCTTGGCCATATAATAGAATGTGGCCAATTGGGCGCAGTGCCAGGAAACGTTCATGAACTGTAGTATGCTCCATGACCACGGACCATATCAAATATCGGATACTAGTATTTGTAGGGCTAGCTTGGTATTATCATTTATTCCAAAAACGTCATTGTAATTGCTCCACCACTATTCAGGTTTGCCAAATCCAGCCATATTAAATGACAGTGATCACCAGTCTGTTTACTGATAGTCGGATTATGTGATGGTCTATATATCAATTCATTTCCATATAATTAACATAAAGTGTATCAATAATCTAGGTTATATTTAAGTTTTAAATCCCTGTTACACGAATTGTGTAATTCTAAATTGAGATGGTAAAAATTTGTAATATTAGGATGTTCTGGGTTATTACTTGATCCAATACCATGACCTCGTGATATGGGGCAGCATATCCTAAGCCCATTTCCATATGTTATATGACCAGATCTTTGATATAATACAAAATGCTGTATGCAGCATTGGAACCTATATCACTGAACGAAACTTTTAGTATTGCATCTCATTTGCATAATATTAAGATTGATTGATGAGCAATATATTATTATAAGGAATAACTTAGTGCAATAAGTAGTCACCAATTATAACTGTGACTGTAATATCAGATGACCATATATAGTCATGTAACCGGAAACATCAGGATTAAATAAACTAACCCTAGATTATTATTATTATTATTATTATTACACTTTATGTTGATTATTTGATAGGAAAATGGTTAAAGATGTATGTGAAATTGGAATATTTCAAGCACTGTTCAGATAGAAAATGTTATTATATCTTTATGATTTATATAATACGAACAATTCACCATACTTGATTGTGATTGGTTCATTAGTTTGCCTCTTGCGGGAAAATAAAATAATTCTGATCAGTCACGTAGTAGCCTTCTGGGTAGTCTTTGGGCATTTGTTTCTCAGGACTGCTTTAACCAATTTACTGTATATTGTCTATATTTATAGCATGTATAGCTAAAGCGTATTATCTGTCACATGGTCTGACCGCCATCTTGGATTTTCAGCAAAAATAGCCACAATTTGAGGCATGTGTGTCTTATGGATGTTTTTACCGATCAACTTGCTATTTTGTGTGTTGCATCTATGCCCAAAGCATATTCTACGAAAAATAACATATATAATAAGTGATTATGTATTAAGGCATATTCATCTCCTTCAAACCTGGACTCTGCAAAACTTCTCTGCCGCTATAATTGATTTGTTGTTTTCGTGGCTCAAGTTTTGATATCGCTAATTTTGTTTATGAACGACTTCCACTAAATTAAATTTATGTAAATATGTAAATTGATAATTCTCGATATCCAGTGAATATACAGAAAAGTAAAAAATGATGTTTGCGCTTCGGTTTAAATGTAATGTAATTTACTCAATACAGCGCACTAAGAGAGCTGACTCGTTTTCGACTTTCATGTTGTTTGAAATGTTACAATGTACTTTTCATGTTCATGTTGTTAACACAAAGCATCTCGCTTTCAATGGATGAGAGAGAAATACTTAAATATTAATATTTATGATCTATCACAACTATCCAAGCTCAGGATATATTTACAAAAATATACTCTCACATTTACAGGAAATATAGCACCGTGAAGTTAAAAGGAACCCCGATAAAGCTGAATATACAAAGTATGTATAAATAAATAAATATATAAATAAATATATAAATAAATATAAATATATAAATAAACTTTAATTGACACATTAATTAATAATTAATACTAATTCTTTCAGATGCGGAAGTAAGTCTTCCGAAACTGCCGATGTGCGGTCCTGATCTACCTATACCACTATCAGATGGCTACTGGGAAGACAATACCACTTTCGTTCCTCTTGTTTGTCAAAGTAAACAGTGGACAGAGGAAGAAATTGACAAATGCATAGCTAACACTGAGGTGCTTGGTGTTGGCGACTCTACCCTTGGACCATTAACTAAGGCGTTTATCAAAACACGAGAGATGCAGGAGGAAAATTTTCATTTTATGACCCCCAGACTTGCCGGCCCAAGAGTTCTGATTATGGAGACTGTATTCGAAAGCGATATGATGGATAAAATTACCAAGGCACAATGCCAATCCAAAACGCCAATAGTGCTTCTGAATTTCTGTTTTCACTACGCGTTTTGGTCTACCAGAGGATATGTGGAACGTCTTGTGCGAGTGAAACTGGCGGTAGAACGACTTTTTCAAAGGTGTCCAAATTCGAAAGTTCTAATAAAGTTAGGACATTCGCGAGATAATCTATATAAGGAACAGAACATACACAGCAACAACTGGATATTCTACGATATGAACAGAATACAACGACGCATTTTCGGTGGAACTGGCGTTCTTTTTCTTGATCCTTGGGATTTAATAAATTCATCATTTGAAGAGAACACTATCCATATGGGGGCTACAGTCCGACGTCAAGAATGGTTTCTCGCCCTATCGTATGTATGCCCAGAAATGGCAATGATGAAGTAGTTTCAGTTGATATGTTGAGAGTGTGGTACTTGTATCAATTTACATCGCATGACGAGCCTGTATTGTAACCTACACACTCTTCAGTGGGCATTTTAGAGAAGTAGTCGAGGTTTTTATTAACGTCGTGCACACACACATATGCGAGGGAGGGATATCGTTATCTTATATTTTGAGAATTGTATTATGACTAATCTAAATTATTTAATGTTATTAATGACGGTTATGCTTTCTTTAATCTGTAAAATATTATAATTATGTTTGTGAATAGTAAAAACATGTCGACACCAATGAATCAAACTCTCTGTTTTATTGTGTGTTTGTGTACGATAACTTACATATAGTCCTCAGGCACTTTGATTCCAGCCAATGCGTTATTATGATACGGCATAGCTAGAAGATTTCATAAATTGTCTGCCTTTTCTCCTCTAAACATATGTGTCGAAAGTAGCATATTACGAACTTATTAATAAGGTTCAAATAAAAAAAAAATAACTAATACCCAATAAGATGATATTCTAATCTGATTGTATGCTGGATTGGGAGAATTATGCTTGCCGTGCTGAAGATTGCATCCATGAAGACGAAACATTGTGACATCTTGGTAAACAGCAGTTGATCTGAAATTAGCATGTTAATAAATAAAATCGCATTAAAGGTACCCAGATTCCAAAATATCAAAGATTATAAAATGCACATATACAAAGTGTTATATCTCTTAAACAAACTAGGGATCAACATTGGGTTCGAACTTGAAAGAAAACACCGCATATTTATTGTTGACCAAAACACGGTGCTGCATCTTGTACCTAACTTTCGTGAGGTTAACAAATACTGTGTATGTGTTCTTGTCTCAGGGACCGTCTGTAAACAAGGATTATCGAAGAATAATTTGATCATGGATATGACAGCAACATTTAGAACAAACACAAGTGTAGTGTAATTCAATACATTCATATTAATATTTGTTGTTTGTAACATCTTTGTTTTGTTTGTATATAGTACTATCATTGTAAATGAAATAATCTAAGTGTATGTTTAGTGTTTGCTTGGTGTAGCATTAAAAAACGAACTAGCTGGTAACGTGACGTCATTAATTGTTCACAAATATAATATCCAGAGATAAATTATAGATCCGTGTTCAGGGCATTGTGTACATGTATGATACGGTGGCTTGTCAGGGCCATTCACTGTTTTTCGAATTTTTCACAATTTTACCTATACTTTTCGGCTTCATTTCGAATTTCCGACAATTTCAATTTAATTTGCACATCGGTGGAAATATTTAAACCCCGGTGAGAATATTTTTTTCCGCGTTGGAAATATTTAAACAGCGCAGGAACTATTAATTATTCTCACCGCGGTTTAAATGTTTCCACAGCGGAGAAAATTATTCTCACGGCGATTTAAATATTTCCACCGAGTTGTAAATTAGTAGAAGTGTCAATAAACTTTCATTCAGAGTAGTGCCGCAACTAGATGATGCCATGGATTTCATGGATTCCGAATATGACAGTATTTTGCTAAGGATGATGGGAACGTACCTCAAATAATGGTGAGAATAAGAAAAAACAAGCTCTCTTTCTGACAAATATATTTATGACTCATGCTGCGAAGGGAAGTCTTCCTGATCTTCTTCAACAGAATAGGGGAGAAATGACTTTTCCCATTAAAGCATTGCCACCGTTGCTGAAATTTGTTAACGTTACTATAACTATAACAACATGAGTTGTAGACATATATCAATGTTCAAAGTTTACAATACAACAATATAAAATGTCTCACCACTATAATAGTGAAAAATTGTAATACGAAAATGACAAGAAAATCCATCATATCTTGAAGGCAGCCATATTGACTCACCGTGACCTCCAAATTGAGAGGCAACAAATTGTTTAAGTGGAGAGAAGTTGGAGGGTTGGGTGCCTTGTCAATATACGCTGATATGTGAAAAAGAAACAGAGTGAGCGGCGAGAAGAAAATATGGAAAAAAATAAACTTGAAAAACAAGAATGGAACAAACTGCTAAAATTAGCAAAAAATGGGCAAACATGCAGCTCAACTTAAACTTGAGCAGGAACTCAACAAGCATTTAAATTTCAGCAAAAACGTAACTTGCCAAATGAAATATATAAACAACCACCGACTCAGCTCAACTTAAAACTAAAACTAGAACTGAAACATAATTCACATGCATCTCCTTTTGCTGCCAAAATTCAATCCCCTCGAAAATGTAAGATGGTGATGACGTAAATCGTTCGAAATGTTTGCCCAGATTTGTGAGTGAAAACAAATGTTTGGGGGCGTGGCAATAAGTGATTAATTTACGGGGAGTGCATTGCCGATTTTGGCAAATTGATGGCTATGCCAAGGTTTAATAAGATGGCTAACGCCATATTAAAATCCCAAATATCGCCTGCAATGAGTGAAAAAGACAAAGGGCGCCCTCCAAGCTCCGTTTTAGTACTTCCCCATGGTCTCAGTAATGTCTATGAACTGTATATGTCATTAATTAATTAATTAATTATTTAATAATTTATTGATTTATTTATTTATTTATTTAATGAAAGACCTTTCAGTCATTAATAAGTTTATTTTTTAGACCAAGTTTCTATATTATTTGCAAAAAATTGTGTATACTTACACAAATAAACATTTAGACATAATGCTGGCTAGCCATGGTCACGCCAGTCATATTCCTAGATTTGGGTAGGTCGGCATTTCAGTTTCAGTGAAAATGTAAACAGGTGTATTATATTGATTGTCTTTTCAACAGAACAATACGCAGATATTGTTATTAAATATTAGTTTGAAACCACACCAGGTGTCAGGTTTCCAGTATATGTATTTTACTTACTATGACGTATTGATAACGCATTTCTACGCTTCATATGGTGAGTGTGTTTACGTATGTATCGTGTTTAAACTGTTCCAGTGCTTCAATTCAGACAATATTGTCACTGATGAATATACGAGAGAAGGGCAACTAGCCGCATGGCATTAGAATTAAAATTCTATAGGCAACTAACTCACGGGAAACGTAATACTAGTACTATATTGTGAGTATACGGCATCAAATCGCCGAACTGCACGCCCCAGTGTGACTTTCCCTCGGCCAGCTAGCATCTGCTTGGTTATCCTTTTAAGTGGTATTGTCTTCCTACTTTTATAAAAAAAATTATCATTTCCTCTTTCAAAAAATATATTTCATACTATACTGTGTGCAGTATCTCACTTGGATTAACATAAGAAGATTTACTCAATCTTACTTTCAGTTTGAAGTCATATTTATTCCATATGTTGTCAGTAATTGTTGGTGTTAATCATTACTATAAAAAATCTTTATTTTCTACTTGCAAATAAAATATTACATTTAAAACTCTTAGTTTCTTCATTAATTATTTGTATATGTGACATTTGTAATTTTGATACCCAAGTTGACCCTGGAACACCCCTTCTAGTACTGTGGAATGCAGCACTTTAACTGAAAACATAAAATAAATTCCAATGAAATGACCTTTCCCCTATACTCTATTTTGAGACTTGGCACAGCTAAGTGAAAATTAGATCCACACGTTATACCTGAAAACTTGAAAGCGAAATTGTATGTGACTTCATGAGAAATTGAAATAAACAAATGATATGACACCCACCCCTACCCACTATATACACTATAACCCCAACATTCTATGCAGCAACGCCCCCACCATACACCCCAAAGATCACAGATCAGTAATTACAATTTCACTCTCTAGTTCAGCACTACTAACTACCTTGTCTTTATGTCAAGTTACCCATTGTCTACATCAGTGACTTTAAAATCTATGTTAACGAAATCCCAGGACGTACACTTGCTCTTTGTTAACATAGGAGTGCCAGTCTTTTCTTTCATATTGTAATGGTAATTTCGTGCGATTACTTGGAACATAAAGCTGTAACTAAATCCTGGTATAAGCACCAGAACGGCAGACTTGGCCCGAAATAGACAAGGAATGAAGGCTCCAGTGAGCCCATATTTTTTAAACACGCCAAAAAATACTAGCTTGCACAATTTTAGTTGCTCTTTCAAATTTCGCCAAAGACTTACTTTTATTTTACCGATATCACTAGAATAAATCAAGAAAACTAAAAAAATCGACTCTATTTACGAACAATTAACGGTTACACAGAAAGCACGGAACATTTGGAGGCGTGGCCTGTTCAGAATTTGTCAAGAACCATTCACAAGACTGGTTTTGAAAGAGCAATCAATATTCTTCAAACTAGTATCTTTTTTAGATTTTATTTTTCATTCCGTTTGACTGTTTTTTTTTCGAGTTTAAAAAACGATAAATCACATTTCACTTTATCTACGCACAATCTAACATGTTAATATGTATTATCAAAAATGCATAGCGCCCGCTACTTTTTCCTTCAGTATAGCCAAATTATACAAATTTTGTGTTTCGTGTAACGGTTTTAAAAAATACTAGATTCCATTAATACAACTAAGTACCAGTCATTCACTACATGGAAAGATGTACGTGAAATTAAAAAAAATCAACATTGGTGGAATGTCCATAGCTAATTTGCATAATAAATAACTGATGTTTATCTCATTTGCATAAAATACACTCTTTGACACCCCTACCGCGAATCGGGTATGTAGGGAAACACAAAATTGATTTTATTTGACCTATAATATATAACGACGTACATACGAAGTGGGCTGTCATAGTTGATTCAAACATTGGTTTGCAGCACCGGGTAAGTCTTAATAATGCTCTGACATCTTTCGTATTCTACAGTCACCGCTCATATTCTGTACTACAACATTAACTGTGGTTCTTGTGCAGCCCGACGTTTTGTCGCCAGTCGCGCTGAACATATGGAAGTTTTAGAAGTTTGTCAAATTTCCAACAATTCAAAGTTAATTAGATCAGTTTACTCTAACTAATCTAATTAGGGGGCGCTGTGTTTTAATAAAAGCATAGCGTAACATATAATTTATAGTAGAACGATAT